GAAATTGGTGAATTTTCATATGTGCTATGAGTTGGTCTAAATTAGACAACTACTTGAAAACAGGAATCACTGAACAAGTGTTTCGTCCTAGTATTGAGCCGTTAACCGAAGATTGGACCCAGGACCTACAGATCTAGCGACGAGCTTTTAACCTTTATACCACTGGCTCCAACAGATTGGTGGAATTACGCTAACATATTTCATTGTCTGGAGTGAACAATTTATCTGTAGAACTCGTGGAGTTACATCTCAATATTAGTCCTGGACACGACTTACGGTATGGTTTTTCTTTTGCTACAGAATCCATAGAGATCTGGATCTCCAAAATATAATTTGTATCATTGATTAGTATCAGATGTAGATTCGTTGAAAACTGGGTAAAGTTTAATTGTTATTTTTCATCATAATCTAATAATAGTGGATATTTACTACAGTACACAAAATGGATCCTAGTACTTTAATGTTTCATGTCTCAAAAAACGTCTTTTTTTAAAAAAGGAAAGAAGAATCAAGATTAAAATCCTAGTAACACCACATATCAGTTATTTTTATAAACTGATATTCCACTTCTGTCCTCTATCCATCTTTGCTTAAAAAACTTGTGACTTTAGTCTATATCGAGGCAATCCGGACAGGATGCACATATGCCAACATGAGGCTGATCAATTTCGGTCCTAAATAACAACGGGAAGATACAAGTAAAACAACACCAAGTGAATGTTATAGATAGTTTTCAATTTCACCTATATATCTCTTTAATTTCTTAGTCGATTTAAGTAGCATATTAGATAAACTAATTAAATATTACCAAAAGTAACAATATATAGCCTGGGGTTTTTGTTGTTGTTATGTCGTTGAACTACATGTCCTCGTTATCGATTCTATGTTTTTCTATGGCTGTACTTTAAAATAATAAAAAAATTAGTGGACAACATTTAAATATTTTAACGGAAGGGCGTTTTTCTAACTAAATGAAAATGACTCATTTATTAGAATTTACATTTGTACAATTGAAATATATTAAGTGTACTTGAAGAATTATAACATTAGTATTCTGAATTCTTGTAAATAGGAACAACTAACGCCTAAATCTTGTCTTACAATAGGACAAAATGGTCGTCCAGTGCATCCAAGTTATCTATAGTGGTCTAACTTCAAATGACTTATAATCTCAACCATTGAAATATATATTAGTTTCTCTTATGTTAATATTATGTTTATAACAATATTTAAGACGTTTATTCAATACCTATGAAAGGATATTATAGACTGTAGTTGTAAGAGAAGAAATTATGACCGTAAAGTTCAAATGACTGGTAAAGATAATTGCTTTTATATCACTTGGTATTGTTTACCCCAATGCACAAGCAAGTGGATAATGTAATGGTGTTTGAAGCGAACAGTACTGGGTTCGAGTCCCAGAGTGAAAATCAACTCTGAGATGTAGGTACATCCAACTGAAGAGCCTCAAATGGGATAAAATGTGCGTCTTAGATTCCACTGCTAACCACTATCCATCTTTCCTTATAATTGTTTCATCTTGTTTTTTTCCATGTATGATTAAAGTTTATACTCTTGATTTTGAAAAATTAATTAAAAGTCATACTCATATTTGAAATAACACAAGTATTAAGTGCAATCATTTAGTTGCACCACAAACTGATTACAGTTGACAAAAGTAACCTAATGAATATCCGTAACCGTAAGTAGTGATTAGTTTACGAAATAAATTAGATATATCCGGGTTACAACTTTGTGATTTATACCCGGTTATCATTCTGTTGAAATCTTGTAATAAACTATTGTTCAGTGATTCCTGTTTTCAAGTAGTTGTCTAATTTAGACCAACTCATAGCACATATGAAAATTCACCAATTTCCACAAACCCTACATACTAATGAATTTAATGAAAGTGTAACCACTAGTGATTTGTACCACGGATAAATATTTCATTTCAAATGTGTCTCTGTAATCCTTAAATTAAATCCATAATTAAGGGAAGGTGGATGACCATAGAAAAATAAAACTAGGACATGTTTCTTAACGCTGACCAGTAATGAACATATAGTTGATTGGTATCTACAACCACATACTATACGAAAATTGTGGTTTACAATAATTCGCTAGCCTACCTGTCTCCGAATAGGTTTTACTAAAAATTTCAAAATTATATATTACCATGTAATTCTTTTTGATTCCCCTTACAATATGTTTGAGGAACCAATTTAAGTAAAGGTGAAGGCAACATTCAAAGACCAGTTAATAACATTATCCGCAATTGAAGCATATCTATTAGTAGCCAGGCTTATTTAGATAAGGTTATATTATCTGTGACAATAGTTAAGTGAATAATTCTTGTATTTTCAAAACTTGAATCACAGTCACATCTTACTTTCTTTGTAGTCTTTAGATATTTGTATAATTTGTTTGGTTTTACTTAGTATATAATTTTCTAAGTATAAACACTAAAGTGGACTTGATAAAATAAATATTCTCATAACCGAGAATTTCGTAACAAATCAATTAGGACTGCCAATACTTGTTTCTACAGTAATCATTTCGAATATACTGGGAAACATCTACTTACACTTATTGCAATATTAATGATGCAAGTATACTTAGCGTTGCGTCTTTAAGGCCAGCTAGTTATCACGTGATTTATTCACCAATCGAAATACGATTTATTCAATCTTTAGTTTATGGGTCAGATAATAGTCCAATTGACAGATATAAAGAAAAACAACAAACACAAAGGTCCTGGGTTAGAATCCCTCGAGGCAGGACCGTGGATGCGCACTGTTGGGGAGTCCCACAATAGGATGAAATGGCCGTCCAGTACTTCCAGGTTTTTCATAGTGGTGGTCTAGTTACAATTGACTCATGATCTCAACTATTACTAAAATCTCCACAAAACCCCTTCTGAAACTGAATAATAATCAAGAAAACTTAGATAATAATAATAACTGATTACAGTTTAAAATTGCAAAATAATGACTTAAATAAATAAATTCAGTAATAACCAAATGAAAGTGCAGAAAAACACGCAGAAAAAAACCCGATACATACCCATTAAGGGAATTAGGCCAATGAAAGATGAGAGGTTGGACGAATCGTTTCTGCACGCAAAGTTCAGGCTTGAGATCATGGATTGCCAATGCCTCAGCAGTGCATAAAATATTGATTCGGCACCCCTTCAATCCAGTTCCTTTCACTCTGTAGATTACTTTTAAAAAATAATCTTTTGGAGTGATGTGTTCACAATTAATTAAATGCTCCTGTATAGAACTGGTAATTTTTTTACATTCTCCTTTTAAAAGCCAAACCCAGATAGTGTTCTGAGATTATTATTATTATTATTATTATTATTATTATTATTATTTAATATTATATTTTTGGTACAATATAGAATTCTCAGCACAAGGTATTTCAAAAAGTTTCTTTCACAAAAATCAAAAGCAAAGACAAAAATGAAAGGAAAAAATATTTGAAAAGTCTGAAAAACTGTACAACTTTCCAAATTAAAGATATGTTAGGAATGCAGATTATTGACTAGGTTAACTCTAACAACCTGTTCGTCACATAGTATATTCGCTAGGTAATGTATTATAGAACTTTTGTACTTTTGCTTGCGTGAATGGATTTTAATGTATTGACAACTCGTTCTACCAGAAGATATACAAGGAGAAAGATATGAATGAAGAGAATGGTTAGTATTTGATAAGATAACACCTACCAGGAGTTTGTAAGACTTTAAATGTCTATGCACATCCATATTAATTGTGACCTCAAAAGATTCACCACACACCTTGCAAACTGCCTTCATCACTCTCCACAATACGGCGTAGTCTTTTCTTAAAAGCCCGGAAAGAATAATGGAGATCAGTAAAGAATAATAGGTAATATTCAGGAGTTGATAAATTGTGAGAGTAAATGACGAGTATTTCAAAGAGCATGCAGTCATTTTATGTAGCAAGTCAGACGGAAAACCTTCTTCAATAACAATAAAACGTGAGAAGACCAAGAGAGATCAGAGGAAAAGGTCACATCAAGATAATTGATCTTCAACACTGTGTTTATCAAAGAGTCTCCAATGGCACAAGTATTATGGGATCCCAAAGTGGAGTTTAGATGCCTTTCATGTCTCATGCTAAAGTTAACAGCTTGAAGTTTAGACGGACTAAATATGAGACCATTAACAAAACAGACTAACAATTAATGCGAGACAAAAACTCATTCATTTGTATGGGATATAAAGAGGTAGAGATAGGCATACATACAGTGAGATCATCCGTGTATACAGAAAATAAGAGAAAAAAAGATGTGAAAGAACGGCTCCTTGTGATGCATTTGGACAGTAATCTCTTTGTGCGGCCTATGTAACGTGACCGACATGAGCATGTAGTGTCTGTTATTATTTTAAGTACATATGCCTTATTCTAGCTTTCGGACAGGCCAATCTATTCATTCTACTTGAGTCACATTCTGACCTTGTTAATTATTCGCTTATCAATCTTGACTGCTTATTATGTGAGCGCATATATATGTGTGTACATTTCTTATCCCATTACTCATCACATGTCTGTAACTTATTTTTGTGTGTTTGATTAACGCTTGACTAAATGGAGTTGGCTTACCCGCCATCTCCACTGTGCGTTGTTTCGCTTCGCTCTATTCCATTCGCTTCATATACAAAATATATGTATTCAAAAATTCATTCTCGTTATTTGACTTATTTAATTCCGTTATTGACTAACGCGATTTAAGTCGATGATTATATTCAAGGCTAAACAACCATCATTCATGCGATCTACGTGGAGTCGGATCTCGGGCCACTAAAGTGGAGAGCCCGTCAACAAATATCGTCCGATCTAATTGACATCTAAATAAAGGGCCCCAATAAAAGCAAATAAATTTATAGATACACATTGATGTATATAAAACTTAAATCTTTACTTTAATATGCTCATAAAGCTGTATTTTTATATTATTTATTCATTCAGAAAAGTGATATAAATGAACAATCTACAGAAATTGATAATGAAATGCAACAATTAGATATTCAGTTAAATAAATCATTAAAAAATATATATGAAATTGAAGAAAAAACAAAACAAACAGATCAATGGTTAATAAATCAAGAAAGACGTTTAACTGCTTTATCAACTGGACCACTAACACAATCATGTGATACAGTAGATAGTATATCAGAACGGTTAAAGTCCCATCAACAATGGGTTGATGAATGTAAAGTATGTAGATGAAATTATAATTTGTTGGTAATATATTATCGAAAGTTTTTTAAAAAAGTTATTATCATAATTATCAGAAGGGGTTTTATGGAGATTTTAGTAATTTCACTAGTTGAAATCATGAGTCAATTGAAGCTAGACCACTATGGAATACCTGAAAGCACTGGATGGTATCATAAACGTGATTCGAGACTAAATAACAACTAAGGTTACATACTAATCAATTGGTAAGGAAGAAAATAGTTTATGGATCAGATAATAGTCTAATTGACAGATATGAAAAAAAACGACAGACACAAAGGTCCTGGGTTCGGATCCGGCGAGGCGGGGTCGTGGATGAGCACTGCTGAGGAGTCCCATACTAGGACGAAACGACCGTTTAGTACTTCCAGGTTTTCCATAGTGGTTTAGCTTCAAATGACTCGCGATTTTATCTAGGATTATCATAATTATTATCATTACTTACTTACTTACGCCTGTTACTCCTCGTGAAGGAGCATAGGCCGCTCACCAGCATTCTCCATCCAACCCTCTCCTGGGCAATCCTTTCAAGCTCTTTCCAGTTCTTATTCATCTTTTTCATATCTGCTTCTATTTCCCGACGTAATGTGTTCTTTGGCCTTCCACTTTTCCGCTTCCCTTCAGGATTCCAAGTTAGCGTTTGTCTCGTAATGCATTTGATGATTTCCTCAATGTATGTCCTATCCATTTCCATCGTCTTTTCCTAATTTCCTCTTCAGCTGGAAGCTGGTTGGTTCTCTCCTACAAAAGGCTGTTGCTGATGGTATCCGGCCAATGGATGTTGAGTATCATGCGTAGACAGCTATTAATAAATACCTGTACCTTCTTAATGGTGGTTGTTGTAGTTCTCCAAGTTTCAGCTCCGTACAGTAGAACTGACTGCCTTGACGTTCGTATTGAAGATTCTGACTTTGATATTGGTTGAAAGTTGTTTTGAGTTCCATATGTTCTTCAGTTGAAGGAATGCCGCTCTAGCTTTGCCAATCCTCGCCTTTACGTCTGCATCTGAACCTCCTTGTTTATCGACGATGCTTCCCAGGTATGTGAAGGATTCCACGTTTCCAGAGTTTCGCCATCAAGAGTGATTGGATTTCTGTTCTTCGTGTTGTGTTTGAGGACCTTGGCTTTCCCTTTGTGTATGTTGAGGCCTAATGATGCAGAGACTGCTGCTATGCTGGCTGTCTTTATCTGCATTTGTTCGTGTGTATGTGATAGGAGGGCTAGGTGATCTGCGAAGTCCAAGTCGTCTAATTGGTTCTGAGCTGTCCATCGTATGCCGTAGTTTCTCTCAGATGTCGAGGTTTTCATAATCCAGTCGACCACCAGAAGAAACAGGAAGGGAGAGAGTAGACAGCCTTGTCTTACTCCGGTCCTTACTTGGAATGCGTCTGTCAGCTGTCCTCCATGCACTACTTTGCGCTGTAGTCCGTCGTATGAGTTCCGGATAATGTTGACAATCTTCTCAGGAACTCCGTAGTGTCGAAGACGTTTCCATAACGTCCTCCTTTCTACACTGTCAAGTGCCTTCTCATAATCAATGAAGTTGATGTAGAGTGACGAGTTCCACTCAATTGATTGTTCGACGATGATCCGTAGTGTCGCAATCTGGTCTGTGCACGACCGGTCCTTACGGAATCCAGCTTGTTGATCTCGAAGTTGAGCGTCAACTGCGTCTTTCATCCTGTTCAGTAACACTCTTGTAAAGACTTTACCCGGTATTGACAGTAGTGTAATGCCTCTGTAGTTTTCACACTTGCTCAGATCTCCTTTCTTTGGAATCTTGATGAGGTGTCCTTCTTTCCAATCCATCGGCACTTGTTCCTCCTCCCAAATCTTCTTGAATAGAAGATGAAGCATGCTTGTAGTTACTTCGATGTCTGACTTCAACGCTTCAGCTGGTATATTGTCATGTCCTGCTGCTCTCCCGCTCTTGATTTGTCTGATGGCCATTCTGATTTCTTCTGTCGTTGGTGAATTGACATTTATAGGAAGATCTGTGTGTGCTGCTTCGATGTCCGGTGGATTCGTTGGAGCCGGCCTGTTCAGGAGTTTCTCGAAGTACTCTGTCCATCTGTTGCGCTGTTGTTGAATCTCAGTGATTGGTCTTCCTTCTTTGTCTTTGACTGGTCTCTCTGGTTTACTGTATTTCCCTGCAAGCTTCTTCGTCGTATCGTAAAGCTGTCTCATATTTCCTTCTCTTGCAGCTTTTTCCGCCGTCGTTGCTAGTTCTTCCACGTATTTTTGCTTATCAGCTCTAATGCTCTTCTTCACTTTCTTGTTTGCTTCTATGTACTCTGCTTGTGCTTGGACTTTCTCTGCTCTTGTTCGACTGTTGTTAATTGCTGTCTTCTTGTTCTTTCTTTCTTTGATCCTGCCCAATGTTTCTGTAGAGATCCATTCCTTGTGATGATGCTTCTTGAGCCCAGAACCTCTTGACACGTTGAAGTTAATGTTTCTTTGATACCTTTCCAGCTATCCTCCATAGTAGTTTCTTCTTCCTTCAGTAGATCCTGTAAGGCTTGGAACCTGTTGTTGAGAGCTACCTTGAATTCATTGAGTTTGTCAGTATCTCGAAGGAAGGCTGTATTGAACCTTTGTGGTGCTGTTTGTCCAGTTCTTCTTTAGCTTCAGTTTCAATTTGGCCACAACCAGGTGATGATCTGAAGCCATGTCCGCTCCTATTCTGTTTCTCACATCTTCCATTGTCCTTCGGAACTTTTTATTGATGCAAATATGATCTATCTGGTTCTCTGTGGTGTGGTCCGGTGAGATTCACGTAGCTTTGTGTATACGTTTGTGTGGAAATGTTGTACCGCCTATGACCAATTTATTGAATGCACACAGATTTGCAAATCTTTCCCCGTTTTCGTTTCTCTCTCCCAGTCCATGTAGTCCCATGATGTCTTCATATCCGGTGTTGTCCATTCCGACTTTGGTGTTTAGATCTCCCATCAGAATGGTGAGGTCCTTTCTTGGGCACTTCTCTATGATTGATTGCAGCCTCTCATAGAATTGATCCTTAACGTCGTCGTTGCTATCATTGGTAGGTGCATAACATTGGATAATGTTCATTGTGATCCCCTCCTTCTTTGTTTTGAATGATGCTTTGATGATTCTGGATCCGTGAGATTCCCATCCTACAAGTGCATTTCGTGCTACTTTGGATAGCATTAGAGCAACTCCCTGAGTGTGTGGAGCATTTTCCTCTTCGTGACCGGAGTATAGCAGCATCTCTCCCGTATTTAGCCTTTGTTGTCCAGCTTGGGTCCAATGGGTTTCACTGATTCCCAGTACTGCCAAGTTATATCTCCTCATTTCCGTTGCTATTTGACTGGTCTTCCCGGTCTCCCACATTGTCCGGACATTCCATGTACCTATAAAAATTGTTGTTCTGGTTGTTAGAAGGGGCATCGGCCTCGTGGCTTCCGATGGAACTCGGCTTTCACCATGAAGCGTCATATTACCTCTAACTCCCAGGGCAGAGTTTAAATGGTTTGATTTATTTTTTCTGGTTAGCGTTTTTTTAGCGAGTTAGGTTTCTACGGGATGAGGACGCTAACCCCATGCCCAACCCTCCTCCTTTACCCGGGCTTGGGACCGGAAGTAACTCTGGAAGAGCTACAGGCGGAGTTATTATTATCATTAATTCATTTTATATTGGTTGTTTTAAGTTTACCATTGATGTTAAAAATAGTAATTGATCAGTCTACCATCCATCTCTGCTTCAAATACTTCTGATTTAAGGTAATATCGAGGTAATCCACACAGGACGCGCGTATGCCAATAAGAGACTGATCAATTGTAGCACCAAGCATCAATCAGAAAATACAAAAAAATAGTATAAAATGAATTAAACTTTCATTATATTACACATGCTAGTGGTTATCAGGCCTCAGTAGCCAAGTGGATAACGCGATGGCGTTCAAAGTGAACAGTACTGGTTTCGAGTCCCACAGCAAACATCAACTGATGAAGGCAGGTAGATCCATCTGACAAGTCCCAAATAGGGCGAAACGTGCGTTCTAGGTTACACCGGTAGCCACAATCCATCTCAGTTTATATTTATTAACATAATAATAATTATTTATAACGTCATTTATCTTGACGTACGTTTTACTTCTGATCTCTTTTGATCTTCTAATACTTTATAAATGTTGAAGATAGACTTTCGTCTAACTTCTTATATGGAGAGGCTAAATGCATTTAGGATTGTTGGACATAAACTTTTATGAGTTCTAAACTTTAGAGTAGTATCATTTAACCTTTACATCACCACACTATTTTTTCCTCGGTTTTTGAGAAAAGGTTTTGCTGCATTGCGGAGAGTGTTTAAAACACTTAGTAAGGTATGTAATGAATCATTATGAATGTGGTTGTAGATAGAAGAGTAAGAGAAGTTTGTTGGAAAATTGTATGCTAAGAATTCCATATTGTACTAAACATATAATATTGAATAAACCGTCTATTATTATTATTATTATTATTATTATTATTATTATTATTATTATTATTATTATTATTATTAAATGTTTCATAACAAACAATAATGAAAGCATTCTATATTGTGATACTAGTTGAAAAGATTTATTTAAGATGTTTGGTAAATCTATTCGGAATTGAATCTTCATCCATTTACTAGTCATACAACTGAATGATGAATACATTTGAAGTACCTTTGAAAAAACAACAACAAAATTGGATTAAAAACGAATACTGTTCAGGTTGAATATCATTAAACTCACGGCGGTATATTTTTTCATCCCATTTTCCAAATATTTTTCATTCCATTCGCTCTAATTAAATGGCTAGTTTAAAATTCGTTATAATTGGTCAGTTATTTCTTAAAATTAATATAAAATGTCAGTACTTGTCGACGGATCATATTTTTTCCAAATTATGGACGATAGTAACGTGCAAAGTACAAGCTCTGTCGGAGAATTTATTCTTGAATACATTGTACCTCGTAGCGTTCCAATCATTTGAAGCGTTACAGAGCGCCATCAGAACTTATCAAAGAGCTACGTACTGTGTTCACATTATCGTTAGTACTCTCATTATCATCCTTGTCTCCTCTTACCCCCATTTCCAGTCTAGTTGAACTTTTATTTTTATATATAAATGTTCTTAAACAGTATATTATATGTGATCAGATTGTTCGAAATCTATTGTGCTAATATATCATTACATAGTTCTGATAATCTTCGTCTTCTTATTATATTATCGAAATTTTTATCTTGATTGTATACGGCTCAACTACATAAAATGTAAAATGTATAGTTCAAAACATTTTATACTTCAAATGAATTTGCAAAATAACTCAATTACAATCTTACGTTTTTGAATAAGAAGAGAATTCAGAGAAAAAAAATTTCTTTTCGACGAAATCATTTACTTAAGCTGTACATTCGTATATATAGTTTATTTATAATACCAATTGTCCATACCATTTGGATTGCGCAACAATTTGTTACATTTATAGGGATGAAGACCAAATATATTCTCATTGTTCAATAGTATGGTAGAATACTACATTTATGTAACATATAAGAATTAAACATATATGACATTGATTATTATCCAATAATAATAATAATAATAATAATAATAATAATAATAATAATAATAATAATAATCAATGTGAACATGTTATTCTAATAATAAACCAGTTGTCTTTAGAATAACTAAATGGTAAAATCTGAAATTGTCACTCTTGCTGATTATGGTTATGGTGAACATATTAAGATTTCTGTAAAAGAGATATGGATAGGTTATTATCATATAAGAATGTGTCCATAATACATATTCCATGAATATATTTACTTATCAACTTGCAATACAGTAGTCGATTAAATGATTTATTGATATGAGTAATACATCTGTTTTCACTGAAACTGTGAGATAATACCCAAGCCATGCAATCCTCACTTAATCAGTTGACGATTAGTGTCCGTAGGTATGATATCTGCTTTGGACCTTCGAAGTGTAAATTACAAGACTGGCAGGACCCTGATCCTATATATTATGAAATAATTATTTAGAAGCTTAGTTCCTTAAGCCTGTTACCTCACGTCGTGGAGGAGTATAGGCCAACCACCAACATTCTCCATCCAACTCTGTCCTCGACAATCCTTTCCAGTTGTTTCAAGTTACTATTCATTCTTTCGATGTCTGCTTCCAATTCTCGTTCCTATATATTCCTTGGTCTTCATCTTTTCTGTTTCCTTTCACAATTCCATGCTATTGCTTGCCTAGTGATGCAGTTTGATGATTTCCACAATATGTGTCCTATTCACTTCCAAGGTCTTTTTCTAATTTCCTCTTCAGGTGCAATCTGGTTTGTTCTTTTCCACAGTAGACTATGGTTAATGGTATCTGACTAACCGACATTTTACGTGGACAGATTTGAAGCATATCTCATTGTTGACCATAGGTATTGAATTTTATTCAGCTTTTGTAGGAGATGATTGAATTGAGTTGAGCCTATTTTTATTCTGAATATCATTACTATTCTCAATCTATATATGTAATTTTTTTATTTTCTTTTTATAGAATTTACTTGAAAGCATCAAAAAATATTCTCAAAAACATAATCTACAACCTGAACGAGATGATGTTGATTCTGTTTTTGAAACTGGATCACCACTATCTGATTTGGTAGGAATGATGTACAAAAGAATGGAACATTTAGAAACTGATACTAAAGTAAGGCGATTTTTGTTGGGTTTCTTTTTCTCTTTCTAAATTTAGTTCATAATCGAATTTTGAACATTTTTGTATACAAGAACATTTATATTCAACATTCTTTGTTTGAATCTTTATTTTCCTAAGTATTGATCTATTGAATTAGTCTAACAACTGGTTATCTACGAGTAGCTTTCGTCTTGGAGATAAATATTCACTGTCAATATTGTAAAGACTATTTACTGAATGGTTCACTAGAATATGCCTGGTTACCTTTATTTATTTCAGTGAGTTTTGTCAAGAAAAACCAGGTTATATGATGAGGGAAGTGTTATAACCGAGCGAAGATTATATCACGAGTAACTTCTGAGAAATTAATTGACTAATATTATATATATATATATATATATATATATATATATATATATATATATATATATATATATTCTTACGGTATAACTATTTAATAGTTAGATTATGTATATTTATATTCCCCTTATTATAAGCTTGATTCTGACCTATAATTTATCATTGTACGATTTACTGTCCCTAAATTATGCTCAGTTTATTAATTACTGTCTCCCATATTCACAGCCACTTTTTGGCCTATTTGTGTACAAATGTTATTTTCTATTTTATGGTACGATGTAGTCTGTTTGATTGCTATATAAACCGAGTAGGTTTGAAATGTTATGATTCATATCACCGAAGCTGAGACTTGTGTTCTGCACTCAACTGGCTGGGCTAGACAGGGAATCATGGCCAATCAGAACTCTAGGCTGCTCGCTCGTATTTTATGCGTCACTGTATCGATCTATAATTCGCTGCTCTCTAATAGGTGGATCACACATCATAACAAATTGGCGACGGGGATTTTGTCAAGAAAAAATAATACAACAATTAGTGACTCAGATTTTGGAAAAAAATAAGCTGTAATAATTGCCGGTGATTTTTTTTGGAATTAATATTATTGTGAGCAGTAAAAAAAATATGGCGATTTCTTTTGAACAGTTGCATTTATTATTACAGCAGCAGCAGCAGCAGCAGCAACAATTTCAACAACAACAACAGCAGCAGCAGATGTTAGCTTCTCAACAGAAATTCCTAGAAACACTTTTGGGGAAGTAATCTATTCAACAAGATATTCCAGAACTTAAAACTATCGAGTCATGTCTTAATCCAGTCTCAGAATTTATATTTGATGCGGACAATGGTCACACTTTTGAATCATGGTTTGGCAGAATTGAAGATATTTTCCGAGTGGAATTTGCTGCTATGGTGACTCAAAGAAAGTCCGGCTGCTCTTACAGAAGCTTGGTCCTAACGAGTATAAAAACCATATCCTGCCTAAGCACCCACGAGAAGTTAGTTTCGAAGAAACTGTTAACATCCTAAATAAAATGTTTTGTGAACAGGCGTCCTTATTCCGTATCCGGTATAATTGTCTACAGCTGACTAAAGAGGCTGATGAAGATTACACTACGTACGCCGGAAGAGTAAATTTACAAGCAGAACGATTTAAATTAAATGTATTAACCAGTGATCATCAATTTAAATGCTTATTATTCATTTCTGGTCTAAACTCTCATGTTGATGCTGATTTTCGCATGAAATTGTTATCCTGTATGGAACATGATGATGAAATGACGTTACAAACTATCACCACTGAATGTCAACGATTAATAAACTTAAAACAATATACAGCTATGCTGGAAACCAAAAGTACAGCGCCATCAAATTCTGTTCATGCTGTCAAGACAAGTCAATGACAAAATAGTACCAAAAGTCATAAATATCACTCGGAAACTCTTAAACCTGCAACTAAATGTTGGTATTGTGGTGCGTGGCATTTCTCAAGATCTTGTCGGTTTAGAAATCATAAATGCACTATATGCAATAAAGTTGGCCACAAAGAAACAGTCTGCCGAACCAAAGAAAGTTTTAGATCGAAACAAACCAGGCGTCCTCACCAGTACCAAAATAAATATATAAACAGTATATATTCCACACTGGCTCTAAGCGTAGCGGATAAAAGAAGATATGTGGAATTAATGGTTAATGGTATTCTTGTTCGATTGCAATTAGACACAGCGTCAGATATCACACTGATCTCGAAACGAACGTGGGGTTTAATTGGGTGTCCGAAAGTATTACCAACAGAGCACACTACACGGAATGCGTCCGGAGATATATTAAAACTTGTTGGGATGATAAAATGCTCTGTTAAATTCCGAGGTAATTACTTTACAGGAAATTGTTACTTAACGAACAGACATGAATTAGACCTTATTGGTATAGACTGGATAGATAAACTAAATTCATGAGATGTACCATTAAGTGAAATATGCTCGATGAAAAGCGCAAATAATCTTAGCGATCCACCTACAGTCCATGTAACTAAGAAAGTCGTAACGATAGATCTTTTGCAGAAGCTATTGGGATGCTGCACAATTGAGAAGGCGAAATTATACTTACGACAGGATGCAAAACCTGTTTTCCGTCCAAAACGTCAAGTCCCATATGCGGCTATTGACAAAGTCGACAAAGAATTAGACCGACTAGAGAAGCACAGTGTTATACAACCTGTCAATTATTCGGTAGGGGCAGCACCAATTGTAGTGGTTCAGAAAGCGAACGGAGCTATTCGCCTCTGTGCAGATTTTTCAACGGGACTAAATGACGCTTTACAAAATCATTCATACCCATTACCTTTGCCAGAGGATTTATTTATTAAACTGAACGGTGGACGTTATTTTTCTAAACTTGATTTATCTGAAGCTTACTTACAAGTAGAAGTTGACGAAGATTCAAAGGAGTTATTAACTATTAATACCCACCGTGGACTCTATCGATTTAACCGATTACCGTTTGGTGTTAAGCCAGCCCCCAGTTTACTTGGATGACATTATAGTTGTTGGGTCTTCTGCGCAGGAATTAATGGGTCGGTTGGACGTGGTGCTCACAAAAATATCACAAGCCGGATTTCAGATACAAAACGAGAAGTGTGGATTTCAGCTCGAGTCTGTTAAGTACCTTGGATATATATTTGATAAAAATGGTCGTCGACCAGACCCAGGCAATATAAATGCTATCAAAAATATGTCCAGACCGACTGAGGTTACAACCTTTCGCTCATTTTTGGGGATGATTGGTTATTATAGTATGTTCGTACCCCATATGTATAAATTGCGACATCCATTAAATCAACTCTTGATGGCTAATACAACATGGAACTGGACAAAGGAATGTCAAGATTCTTTCGATGAAATAAAGAGGATTTCATCTTCTAAACTGTTGCTGACTCATTATAATACTAAGCTTGAAATAATTGTAGCCGCCGATGCTTCAAACTATGGAATTGGAGCTGTTATCAGCCATCGTTTTCCTGATGGTAAAGAAAAGCCAATTGCTCATGTATCCCGAACTCTTAACTCAGCTGAGCGAAAATATAGTCAGATTGAGAAAGAAGGACTAGCTTTAGTTTTTGCAGTAAAGAAATTCCATAAAATGATTTATGGTGAGATGGTGGAGAAGATTTGTAGCTCAGGTAGATGATTTTGATGGAGTTTTGTTCTCTGAGCTGGATGGTTTGGTCGTGGAGCTTTCATCGTTCTTCTGAACGACATCATCAGCACAAACTTCAGATAGAAGTGAAGTGTTCGAATTTCTCCATATGCGTTTCACAGCTTGTTCTGTGCACCTCGATGTTGATTGGTTCTTATTGACCTTAAATTTGTCATTGTTTACTTTTTTGTCTTGGTTTTGTCTCCTATTGGTTTGATTCTTGTTCCTATATTTGTGCATAAGTTTCCTGATTGGTTGATAAATCGGATCGATTTCAATATGTTTGTTTATTGGGTATCCATACTTTTGAAATACGTCCTTCAGGTATCTGTCTTCCTTTCTTCGTGTTGCCAATGTGCTGAAGTGTGTCCTCGCGCTACTTAACAAAGTTTGTACGCAGTTGATTCTATGTGCTCCTGGGTTGTTGCTATTGTAGTTAAGAATTTGATCTGTGTGGGTCGGTTTCCTATATACTTGAGTTTCTAGTTTTCCTGTGTCGGTTCTAATGATTAATATATCCAAAAATGATAGTTTGTTGTTTGCCTCCTGTTCCATTGTGAACATGATGTCATAGAAGACGTTGTTGATCAGCTTGTAAGTGTTTTCTTGCTCATTCTTTTTGAGGATAACGAATGTGTCGTCTACATAGCGAATCCAAATTTTTGGTTTGATCACTGGTAATATCGCGGCTTCTAGTCTTTGCATCACTGCTTCTGCGATCAGTCCTGATATTGGTGACCCCATTGGTGTCTCTTTCGTTTGTTTGTAGATTTTGTTGAATTGAAAATATGTTGTTAGGCATAAGTCGATGAGTTCTAGTAGACTTTGACTTTGAAGTTTTGTGTACTTTGTGAGATTTGTGTCGTTGACGAGGAGCAGGGATAGAGTTTCTTTTGCTAACCTTGGTTCGATTGAGGTGAATAATGCTGTTACATCGAAGGATATCATTAGTTCGTCGTCAACAACAAAATCTACGAACAAACGAAAGGGACACCAATGAGATCACCAATATCAGGACTGATCGCAGAAGCAGTGATGCAAAGACTAGAAGCCGCGATATTACCAGTGATCAAACCAAAAATTTGGATTCGCTATGTAGACGACACATTCGTTATCCTCAAAAAGAATGAGCTAGAAAACACTTACAAGTTGATCAACAACGTCTTCTATGACATCAAGTTCACAATGGAACAGGAGGCAAATAACAAACTACCATTCTTGGATATATTAACCACTAGAACTGACACAGGAAAACTAGAAACTCAAGTATATAGGAAACCGACCCACACAGATCAAATTCTTAACTACAATACCAACAACTCAAGAGCACATAAAATCAACTGCGTGCAAACTTTGTTCAAGAGGGCGAGGTCACACTGCACCACTCTGGCAACACGAAGAAAGGAAGAGAAATACCTAAAGGAAGTATTCCGAAAGAATGGCTACCCAGTCAACTTCATCAAAAAATACCAACTACATGCAGCATCAGAGCACAAAAATCAACAAACGGATCACCCTATCATACATACATGGCATATCAGAAACCGCAACAAGACTGCTAAAAACCTTCGGGATAGGTGTGGCACACAAACTGACAAAATCAATACAGTCAATCCTATGCAAACCAAAGGATGAAATAACAAAAGAAGATA